GGCCAACAGCATTAGAGTAGTCCAAAAAAAAAACCTTGAGTCATCCTATTAGTATATCAAGTAGGTACTGTATACACCATTTCTTTATATATTCGTCAGTTGAATGTCAATTTATCGCATTTCCTAACTATGCTAAGTAGTAACTTATTCAGAAATCAGTATTTCAGTTTATACGCTTAGAATGTCAATAAAATCACTGAGTACAGAGGTGAAATAAATTGAGATACTTCTCAATATGTTTTAGGACATCTGCGACTTCCTCTGCTATTTGAAACAAAAGATTGCCTATATCCTCGTAATACAATATATCTTCACGTCAATTTCCATTAATATCCCTTGAACTACTTTGTTGCGAAAAGGTAGCAAACATATATACAAAAATGTTTTAGGATTTATAACATAAGTATTTATTATCAGGTAGGCCATCATTTTGTTATCAATACAAAGTCATTGACAATAAATTTGTGAATTTGTACATAAGTTCTAAATTTGAACACAGACTTTAGGTATTGTACTGAACTGTACTGTTTGAACTTTGTGTATCAGAGACACGAGTAATATGTTTAAAACAACTGTATGTCCCTAGATAACGTTACTTAACTGAAACCATAAAGCGACATAATTCTGAACATATAGTTAGACACTAACGTAGACATAAAATAATCCACTCTACGAACCGAATAGATGAGAACTAGGTACTAAAAGAAGTCACCTAACAGAGAGACTTAAGTTATTATTAAGTTACTCAGTTATTGGTGGAATAACACTCATCAACCTGCAACACTAAATCTTTCTGTGTAAAGAGACTTGCCGTGATGGATTGATCGAATAATGGTGGGCCATGACACATATCTACATATGAAAAAATTATAGCTGTTGCTTTATGATCTATAAGTTGACTAAACTAAAAAAAATATAGAACCATAAACAAAAGGGATTAAATTTCATTATATTCTAGAAATTTAAATTTAGAACACAATTCTGTATTCGAAATTTAAAGTTTAAACTTAAGAAAACGTAGGCATTGACTAAGAGGATTATATATTTTAATATTACGGATTCAAACAGAGCCTCGATTTGGATTCGTATATGGATGGATATGTATGTTAGAAGCAGAATGAACATAAATCCAAATAGACGAAAGCACAATCTACTAGTGATATAAACGAAACCGCAAGCAATCAACCGAGCAGTCTACTCTGTGTGATTACCATTTACCGGGATAATCACTCTCCTGTGATTTGTTATTTAAATTTGGAACCACTGCAAACCACAGCAATCCAGTTTGTTACATAGATATGTCGTAAAATAAAAACTTGAAGTTTTTTATTCAATCAAATTTGGATTGGTCTTTATTTAAAAGATTATAAAACCTGCATCTTTTAGGTAGTTATTTATATAAATTTCTTTGCAATATCTGAAAATTAGTTTACTGGCCCTTAATATCTATAATTAAAAAAAAACTTTCTAACTAGTTAGATTATTAATTTGACTTACGTATAAGCGTTTGCTGATACGACTAAAGTTATACAGTTTCATTCAGATTAAATAAATAATAATGTATAGAAATCCTTCGTGTTATTTTTAAAGCATGATATATTAAAAGTTCTAATTAAAAACGTCATAACAACCCATATCAACCCACTGGCTTCTTTGTCTTCTGCACATGATTGAAATTTTGTTATATATTTTTTTATCATGTAGAGATGCAAACATCAAAATAGCGAATAATTTTTATACATCGTTCCATTTTAAAGTTTTCTATCCAAATAACTCATATTTGTAATTTCATTTCCACTTCTAGTCGTATGTTATAAACATTTATGTTATCCGTTATTTTCATTTATTTACGCCGTTATTTTCTTTGTGGCATAACTAACTGTTCATACTTACTAACTACACAAAGTATCTGTGTATACCATAAAAAGCAATGTCATATTAGAAAAGCTTACAAATTCTATAGAATCAATTTACTATAATATCCAAATGTTATATTCTTCTATTGTTATAGAAAAATAAAACAAAGGCATAAACGTTGCAGATTTTGCTATAGTATCAATATGATTGATCAAAATTAGCGAAATTATCATGTTAGATTATCATACAGAAGTATTATCAAATTGAATTTATTTTATTATTTTCACTCGACTTAAAATAAGAGGTAGACCTTATTGAAAATATATATACAAATAGTAACCTACCCTGAGTACGCAAAGGTTATAATTAGAATTAAAAAAAATGTTACTCTTGATAATGTAACTTTCATAATTATATTTCAATTTTAATCTTTATTCAGTATTTATTGATGATCGTTTTAGAAAATTATATTTTAACAATATGCTAGTCATAACAGCAGTTTAAATAAATAAAATTGTCAACATCTGTATAGTAAGGCTCTAATTATAGCGATGATGTTAACATTATTGAGCTGAAATCCTTTGTCCCTCATCTCAAGCATTTTGTTTCGCTTTTATTTTTACAAACACATTTTCGGCTCACCATCTATTAAAACTCTGTTTTAACTATAATTGTTTCAAAATAATGTCAAAACTCTTTCATGAATATTATTAACCAACTTTAGAGGGTCAGTACTACTTTTGGTTTGGCGTGTGACACGTAACTTCTAAATGGAATTTAATACCTATTTATTTTTCAGTATAATCTATAATATTACGAGGTAAAGAGAGAAAAAGCGAATTTTAGTATAAGAAAAGTAAACTCCAGTATATGTAAACTCAAGTATAAGAAATTCTTTCACTATTTGAAAGGCGCGTTATTTCATAATAACATATGTATTATTTTTAAATGCACAAAACTCTAAGTTATTAATTATTAGCACCCGAAATAAACTACGGCGTGAAACTATCTAGTTATATTACATTTGATCACATGTTAGCACAGTTTACATGAAGGTTTTAAAAACATTTTCATATTTCTTATTTACTATGCTTTTTTTGGAAAATTGTTCAGTTTGATGAATACCTACCATAACTAACAATGATGTTGATATCCCATTTATTACTACTGACCCTGTACAATTACAAATTCATTTTATTGCAATTTATGATGGTTTATTTTTTTGTTTGTGATATGAAACTCTAACAAAATTTATGTTCGTATATTTTATATTATTAACAATTTAATATGATTTATATTTCCACTATGGATTTTAGGAAAATTCTTCAGTTAGACGAATACCTACCATAAGTAACTTTCAGGTTGATATAACCTTTATTACCTGTATAAGTACAAATTTAGTTTATTGCAATCTTTCATGTTTTTTTTATTGTTTGTAATACGTGACTCTAACTGAATTTACGTTCATATATTTTATATTATCGACATAAAAATAACATTCGTTACGCTTTATCGGCGAATATAACTGTTGTCAATGCATGAACTCAACAAAGGTAAATTCGCCCATCACTGCGTATATTACATTCGCAATGAATTTATATGACCATTTCGATTCTACTACAAGTCATAAATATTCATAACAAAACGACTATCAAATTTATTTTATACTGGCTATTACACGAGTCCATTTTTGTTGACAGAAATATTCGCTCCAAACGTACTTTTATTGTACTTCGTTCGATAGAAAATTCAGAACATAACTCATAATAATTTAGTTTCGTTCTTCTAAAGAATTACAAAATGTCAAATTTGTATTTTCTATAATATTTATATAATTCTAATATTAGAAATATGAAAGTGTATATCTATATGTCTGTTTATTACATTCACAACTAATTAAATTTGTTCCGAAAATAAATTGTATCATACATACACTATCGTTTATTATAAATATAATCATTTGTATAAAAAACAACTATTTATAAATAAATAAATGATTCTGACCGAAATACATCATCAATAAATGCTTTATAATACAACATATTTGAAAAGGTACTTCTAGATATATTATACATAAATATTAGTACCTTAGTCTTGTTTTTAATAGAAAAAGATATAATATACCTATATATATTATAAAATATTTTTAAATAAATTAGGTACAAAATCTATTTCTATTCATTTTGAATTCAATATAGTCAAACCGATCTTCTTTTATTAAAAGTTGTATAGGTCGGTTCTATTCAACAGCAACCTGCAACATATGCTTTCAAATACGTAAGATATATATTACAGCGCTACCGTCATTTACTTCTATGTACTCGTATGTTTTCGGTGTCTGGCATCCGAGCAATTAACTACTTGATGGTATCTCATTTGGTAACAAAACATAAAGTTTTAGAACGTACATCACATAAGTTTAGTGTGTCTATTCTCTAGATTAATTGTGATGGCGATTTGCTTTTAACATAATCTCTAACTCCCATCTCTGGAAGCCAAAATGTACGTAATAAAAATAGATCCTAAAGCTAGCTAGTTCATATTTATAGAAAGATATTAATATACAAATAAGGTTTTCCATTTATAAAATTAAAAAGGAGCTTTATTGCACTTTTCATACGCCCACAACTCATCCGTTCCGTTCGCGGACTACTCGTATAATGGCGAGTCACTGTTCATAGGCCTCCATCTTGTGACCCACTACTCTCAAAAAACCGAAAGTAATAAGAATTGTGAATAGATAAATAGAGCCAAGACAAGAGAGACGCAAAAAAAGTATATTTAAAGGATGGTATAATATGGTTAAAAATCTTATGTTAACGATATAAGAATTTTAACTTATTCCCTGACAGTAGTGAACACCGTTAACATAAAACACAAACTAAATTATTCACAGAGACGACAAAACAAGAGAAATAAGCCCGCCCTCCCAATGTTAGCTTCAGATCTGCATATAAAACAATACATTACGTTATAAATATGTATATACCTACGTATACATATATATGTATCTACTTATATAATTCCTTGCGAAGTCGTGTAGTATAAAAGAAAACCTTTTTTATATGTCGAAAAATATCTACTATTTGGTTTCTGATTACGAATCTTGAGTTTTTGATGGTTTACATCTCTAATTCACTTACCTGAAATTATATATATGCTCCTTCGATATCTGAAACAACACATGTTGAAATTAAACATTATTTTCCAGAGTACACTGACTTATTTTAATTTTTATTATATAAAGTAACATAATATGTCAATAATAGAATATTGAATTACAAATTAATAACACTCATTAGATAAACTTTGCTGATAATTTAATACAGTAACAACATTGAGAATTATTACTGGCGAAAAGCCTAAGAGTATAAGATAATATCTCTCAATATATAAAATCATAGTGAAAATTTCTTCGAAATCGATTAATTAGATTAATTTACCGAACAAACAGTCACACGTGAATAGCACATAAAATTTATACTATTTAGTGGTACAGATTTATGCCCTACCGTATAAGGCACTGAACTGCTTCTTCTGAACTAATGGCAAAGCAGACAGTGAATTATATCGACTAATTAGAAACGATATTCACTTAACATATATAGAGTCCGTGCACAAATTAGGGTAACTATATTGCCGTAACTAAAATACAAGGCAACGAAAATACAATTCGACATTCGCCGCGAAATGTGTCAAACCACGAATACAAATTCGCTCATCGAAGTGATGTAAAGTCGGCTCAATCACTGCGAGCGAACGCAAGTTCATTAAACAAAGTTTCAGGTTAGGTATAACAGTAATTTGTATGTAATAGGTACTAGTACGTACCTACCCCGCTATAGTGTGGGGAAACTTGTCGAATTAAATTCAATTATGATTAGTTTGATGGATTTTGTAGACATTTAGCGTTGCGGTGAACGTAATCCTCCATTTTCAAATTAATTCAGTGCGATTGAAATTGTAATGTGATATTACGACATTATTACTCGTGAATTATAACTGATAACATATTGGTTTCATACTGTGTGATCATTAAATAAAACTCCTCTTTACTTTTCAAGAGTAGATATAGTACAATAGTTGACAGAAGTAAATATCTGCCATCTCTAGACGTAATTTAAGTTTGATATGTTACCATCACTAGAGACTTTGGTACTAATTAAACATTCATCTTAAAATAAAAATAAGTAGTAGGGTAGCTATAATTTATGTATATAAACTTCTTATATCTATGTATACAACGATGTACAGTGCAGTACATAGCAATACACTTTAACAAAGCCCACATAAATCTTCTCTTGAATTTAAACAAATTAAACTTAAGCAAATTATCGTCTCCAAGAATTGTACCTGTGAATTTAGTTCTAAACTCAAGTCCCAGCATTAGGCTCGGTATTTTCCACATTTCTGCTTGAACGCTCTAAGCTAAATAGAGAGTTCATCTAAGCATTTGTAGGTATGTATATATTATAATTATCTTTCCTTCATCAACACACAAATTCGCGGTTCTAGCATGAATCTTTCTTTCTGAAGCTTAAATACTTTTTATTTTTAATAGCAAATTTCAAAATATTTCTGACAAACTATATACCTATATGTTAAAAAATAATCATTTATTAAATTTAAATATTTTTATAAACGTACTAACTAATAATAGTTGACATTTTTATTGAGTATTGAGTACTATGTTGTATTGAGTTCCAGTATACAAATCGAAAGAAACCTTATAGCGATAATCTGGAGCCCAACCCAGAAAACTCATCTAATTTAAAAAGTCCAAATAAGAACCGAACGCGGGCTTTGATTACGCAAGACGACGTAACTTGCTCACCACTGAGCCATTGGACGTGGAAGTCGATCATTTACGTTTACCTACTACGATGGGAACGTTTTCATTGAGCTGAATAATTGCATAGAGTCCGTATGCAATGCTTCTATGTTAGCAGTAAGACGAATCGATATGCTTTCTCTATTGCATGGTTGACAGTGCTTGACTGAATGGTATAATTACATAATATAGATCTTGACGGAAGTCCCAGCTGTACAATACTAGTGAATAATCTATAAGCTAAAACGTCATTGTTTATACAGAATACGTTAAATATTGAGTGAAAATTGAAGGGTATACAACCCTAAAATGAAGATAGACGTGTGTGTATATATATAATATGATAAAAAGAATTAATTATTAGAATGTATCCAGCTTTATAAAAAAATACATATTAAAGAAATATAGAAATTAAAACATAATATATCTTATAAAAATAAAAATATTGCTCTTCAATTTTGATGCCAAAACGAATAGTCTAAAAGTAAATTAAACCTGAGGTGAGTGTAATAAGATGTTATTTTTTGTCGGTAATTTACTCATATAAAAAATTTTAAAACAAATTTATTCTTACTTCTATAACATCTGAATATTACTATTATATAGAATGTATATATACTACGGTACTTTGGCTAAAAATCTGTAAATGCTTCATTGATTTTAATCCTCTGAGCAGAACACAATTATTTTTCACGAGTATTCGACGTTTCGAAACTGTATATATCTACATAGACAGTTTCGTAACGTCGTCCCCGACATGACGGTGTGAAGACAGTCAAGTGAGATGTGAACGAGAAAAATGTCTTTTGAATATGTACGACATTGGCAAACGATATCAGTTCTCTCAAACGGGTGTATGCGTCAAGTATCTCATTTGAATCAGTACGTGAATAATACATTCACATTTATTGACGGTGCATTCTTTCTTACTTGCAACTTGTAGTTCTTACATACAGTCGCTATGATTTCAATAAAAGAACGTATGTTTTTATTACAGACTAACGCGACGTCTATTTAAGATATTTTTTCCATAGAAGTAACAGTGTTGAACATGACCGAACCAGTATTTGCGCAACTTACAATTTAAGTCAATAAAAAAATAATTCAAAATCCATAGATGGCAAAATCATATAAAACATAGTAAACAGTTACACTAGCGAAAAAAAAACTGTCATTTCTACATAATCGTTTACTACTACTGGTCGTATTAAATCATCGTATGAGATCATCCATCCATCTTAAACTATAATAATAATAATCTCAGAACAATTCACACAGCGCTATCTAGACCCAAGTTAAGACAGCTAAAGTTTGTGTTATGGGTCTAGTACCCATATATATCTATAACTGATAGAAATACATAGATATAATTTTTTTTCGTAAATACATACATAGAACACACCCAGATATAAACAATCAGTATTATGAATACAAATGTTTGTGCCGTACGAGGAATCGAACCCGCAACCATCGGAAGTTATCGGACCACCGCGGCGGTTTTATCTCAAATTTCCCATTCACCTATCGTCAGAACATAATAATCTAGAAATATAATCCCTGTTCTTGAACTATTTACTAGTTCGCTGACCTACTTAAAGTATAATATATCCGCTAATATAGAACTGCGACCGCTAAATTCCTTGATATTGTATCTTTCATTGTCAATAACTTAAGAGGATAAGAAATATTTCAATAAAACGGTTTATGAGCATACTATAAAAATTTCCTTTGTTTTAAAATACCCGCAACATATATCTATGCCATAATAAACTCAATATTGACAGATAGATTTTCTCAGGCAATCTTCAATTTTAACGATAGACATGCCTGTCAGAGCCAACGCTATATTTGATCTTATTCCGCAGCCTCAACTGAACTTTAATAAATATTATTACGTTTTTTCAGACGTCGTAATGTCACATTGCGAATTCCGACCGCAGAAACAAAACATTCAGCATTTATTAATATTACCTTTCCCAACATCTTACCTTTATTGAAAAATATAACAAAAGAATAACATAGAAACAAATAAAATAGATTCCTTAGTAATGCTATAAGTATGGTAATAAGGTTTGGTACCTATCAGAGTTTTAAGGTCTCAACCAAACAATGAAATTTGTGACATTGCTTCTATAATATTTGACAAAGAGAACATAGACTATAGTTTAGTTTTTTATCACATTTATTCATTTATATGTATAAATTTATCATCTTTGTATCATGTGTCGGGTGTAATTACTAGTAATATATTAATTGCCCTGGATATGTCACATTAGGATATCCTGGATATACAAATCAAATAACAAATTAAGTAAAGCTTTTTATTACAAAAGACATAACTATAAATACACATGTGCTTGCATAGAATAATTTATAGTACAATCAAGCGAGCAAATACTATATAACTGACAGACATATTTAAATACTATGTTATATAAATCCTCCATACCAATATACATACACATATATAATATATATGAACCTATAAAGAAAGGAGAAGCAATGTGTTGAACGATCATGGTATATTTACCAACTGCAACGTTAAATCCATCTATTTTTTTATTCAATGTTCTAGATAAATCCTTATAGAGTATAATAAAAAAATCGACTAATAGTTGCTGTCAATCACAAGAAAAATGTACAATACCGTTCATTTCAAAGTTCCGAGAAGAACACTGGCTGTCCTTACAGAATAGGGTTGCCAACATATTTATTATAAAGTCTACTAATATTATGAACATAGTTTGTAAGGATATATGAATAGATTATTGTTACGGTTAGGTATACGAAAAACAAAAGACGAAGAAATTAAATTAAATTTCGATTCATAAATATTTATGATATATTTATTTTTTACCCAAAATCTAATGGGAAGCGCTGGATATACCAAGTATATAATCTGAACTAAAATATATAATTAAATTATGCATTTCAAAAATTGTTTCAACACATTTATCAATAATTTCATTTTTATAATTCAAATTTGTATTCTAATCTGTTTTTAATACTACACTAGCTACTCGCCCCGGCTTCGCCCGGGTGTACATGTATTATATATACAAGCCTTCCTCTAGAATCACTCTATCTATTAAATAAGGCGCTGCAAAATCTGTTGCGTTGTTTTAAAGCTTTAAGCATACATAGAGACCGACAGCGACAGCGACAGCGATTTTATTTTATACTATGTAATAATGATGATAGTACACTATATTACTAACTATTAATCTTATTATTATTACCTAAATTCATATTACATGTACACAAACTTTTACAATTGCAATATAAATTTAAATTGCTGTAAAAGTTAATACAGTTATTGACAGATTGCCATAAAAACCATT